GTTGAGTAAATAAGCTTTAACTGAATGGAGGATAACTCTTATTTATAGTGCAGCTTCCCTTTCTCAATTATCCAAGTTTGTAGATGTGGGACAACTTAAAAGACCTACTTTTAAAAAACATAGAGAGGGATGGGTACGTGAATACAGCTGGAGCCATGTTTCTCCTCTTCTCTTCCATTCAATATTTACAACAAATAAGAAGAAATGACGAAAAGCAAATATAATCTAATCACTTTGAGACACATAAGCCTGACTTCATATCCCAACCGTCCACTCTATTATATTAGATCTACTTTTAAGAATGCAACTACAAGCTGTTCAAAAAAAAAAAAAAAATGAATGCAACTACAATTATTTTTTTATCTCATATTACAAATATTTGATGAATAAAGCAGTAGTAGTCTAGTAAAGGTGGACATCGAATTTTTAAACTTATTTTATGAATACTTAAAAGTTAAATCTTGAATGCTCTTTAAAAAAAAAAATTAAGATTTTAGTCAGAATAATCAATTTATATTTACACATATATGTAAACATATTTGAGCGATTAGTTGATTAAGATGGCGAGAGGTGGTTAATCATACACATGTCTATTATAGTTCCATGCAGATCCTAGAAACAGATGAAGATAAATCAGTTGAATGCTAATTGGAAATGCTTTGATATCGATTAGAGTAAACCGGAGAAGTCTAAGTCGTCACCTATGATTTAGAGTCTATAGTTTGAGTCGATATGTTTGAGATATTCTTTTAACAATTCATATGCATTGCATCTTATTTCTTGTGGATATTATATTAATTTTAGTTTAGGATTCTTAACCAAAAATTCTAAAATCCCATGAGTTTATGATTTTGCTTACTTTCTCAGTTTGTTGTTTCTTGCAGATTAGACATTCTCCCTATGGATCGACACCCTAAGTCCTATAACGTACATTTGTGCATTTGCAGACACAAAGGTTTTATAAATTTAAAGCTTTTTGCGGATCAATGGGCTTGCTAAAAGCAAAACGTAGGCCCGCAAGCCCATCAGACATGCATCTTTTACATAATTTTTGTTTTATTTTACTTTGTTGTTTACTAATTTTTTTGCTTTTTCTATACTGTATCTTTACTTTCTTATATAAAAATAGAACATAAATAATATTTTATAAAATATATATTTTATATTTCCATAATTTAATATTCATGAAAAAGGTAAACACAATAGATTTTGATAGTAAGATTTATATATATATATATATACATACAGACTATTTTATATTAATTCCTAATATTTTATTTATGCCTCCATAGAAAAATATTTTGGAATCTGTCTATGGTTTTGTATATTTCGAAAACAGAAATTATCTAAGAAGGATTTTATTTCCTTTATTCTGAAATTCAAAGATTTTTTGCCTTTTTAATATATTTGTGCTGTGCCAACTGCTAATTTAGTTGGAAACGTACAATACAGAAAATAGAATAATAAGTACATGCATGAACAAAAAAAAATCAAAGTGAATAAATTATTACCTTTATCTAAAAAGGATTTTGTTTCATTTACTCTGAAATTCAAAGATTTTTTGTCTTGTTATATATATTTGTGTTGTGCCAATTTAGTTAGAAACAGGCAGAACAGAAAATAGAATAATACATCGCTAATGCATGAATAAAAAAAAATCAAATTGAATAAATTATTACCTTATTTTAGTTTCATTTGAATTGTGGAATAAAAATGAAAGACAGTCTAGCAAAATAAAATTGTAATTAGACAGAATATTGTTAATTCATTTGGTCAAAATTATCCAAGTAAAATATTAAATAATATATTATTATATTATTATAAATATATAGTATTAGTATTAATATTTTGAACAAAATTATTATATTAAATATCATTTTATAGTGTTGATTAATATCATCATCTTATAAATATTATAAAGTATTGATTCTATATGCTAAGAGGAGAGTTAGCGGTGTGAATATGTGTAATATTAGTCTTAATCTTATAATATTAAAAATAAAAAAATAAAAAAATTAGAAAAAACAATGGTATATATATTGTTATAATTTAATATTACATAGTATTTGATATTTTAATTATATATTCGTACTATACACAGAACAACGAAAATTATCAACAAAACAATAATCTGAAAAATTGAGTAGCACCTTTTCAAACAAGTATGATATTTTTACCTGTTAAAAAAATTGAAATGTGTAACCATCAAAGTTTTTAATTTACTAAATAATTAGAGTTTTTGTATTGTGTATTCATTTGGAATTCATGTGCTAATTATGTGCTAATTTCAAATATTTGTTCAAAGTTGGGAGGTCTTGGCAAGGGTTGGATTCAATTAGAACCAAAAATTCCTTGACTTTTAGTTAATAGTCTTCTATATATCTCAGATATTCAGAGTATGACTATATTTTTCTATTTCTTAGATATTCATTAATTGACCATAGTTTGACAATATATTTCCTCTATTTTTTAAATATAATCTTATATAGCTTGACAACATATTATGTTTAATAGATTTATAATTCAAAACTAATAAACAGTAAATAGATTGATCTATATTTCTTATATTTTCTATTATAATTTACATCAAATTTTTGAAGTGGATAGGTTGCTTGTATGCATAAGTTGTTTTTCACCCTTAGCATTTTGTTAAAGTTCATTCTTTCATTGAAAAAAAAAATTCTATAAAAAAATCAACATATTTGAGATCATTTTTATTTCGAGACCTTGTCCTATGACAAAATGATTTCACTTACTTTGCAATAACATGATTCATTTAAAATCACTAAAGAATGTCAAAAGGTTGGAATTAAGAATGCTTGAGTAGGTTGAGACCTGAGCTTTAATCATGAAGTGATGAGTATGGCTAGTTTCTTTTGAGTAGACTTGTTTATATTGCATCTTAAAACTAGTAATTTGAATATTGAGCTTTAAATTTTTTTAATAACAAGTGTTTCCCCCGATGTGGGAACTCTGAAGAATCTATTAACCATTATCTGTTTTTATGTCTCCCGACTTTACAAGTCTGGGCATTATCGGACTTTCCGTTCCTTCCGGGTCTCTTCCCGAGCACCTCTATTTATCAAAATATGAGTTTCCTCTTTTGGCAAACAAAAAAGTTAGGAATGACAAACCCCCAAAAAGATATTTATCATTGGATCTTGTGGTATGTTTAGAAAGCGAGAAACGACAAAAACTTCTATGGGAAAGAAAATTTCCCGGTAGATACGTTGATCCACGCCAAGGTTGAAGCAGAAAGCTGGAAGGTTGCAATCCAACCGAAAGAAGAAGAGGATATATCTGACGAGACTTCGCTCACATCCCTGCTCCCGATTTTTCTACCCGATGCCCAGAAATTCCCGATTTGCCAGGTTGATGCATCCTGGATTGGCAACGGCCTAGTTAAAGCTTTTGGGTGGAGCCTGAAAGAGAAAAGGGGTGGCGAGATTTTTGGTTTTCAGGGCTGTCGTAGGAGCCTCTAGGCCCTTTATGCCCAACTGGAAAGCCTCTTATGGGCTATGTCTTGCGTAAAAAATACACATATTTTATTCATCCACTTTCAGACTGATTATTCAGATCTAGTGTGTATGACTGAATCTCTATCGGATTGGCCGTCTTTCCTTTCTGAGTTGGAAGCCTTCGCATCCTTCGGGAGAGTTTTCTGAATTTTTTCTCTTTTACATATTCTCAGATGTTTAAATGTCTAAGCAGATAGTTTTGCAAAAAAACTCAAACAAGAAACATTATTTTCTTTCAAATTATTTATACCGAACCAGCTGAAGAGGATTTTCGGACTAGTTTTTTAACGGGCTAAATGTGATGTAATAGTTGGGTAATGAAAAAAAAATCTTTTAATAATATTTGTGGATTTGAGTTCCCTTTTCAAATTTCTCTTCCTTCTTGTTCTTGTTTGTTCTTGTTCTTGTTCTTTACTTTTGAAATAATAACACTTTTACTCTTTTAGTTTTGATTGTAGCATCTCATGGTCGTCTTGATTTCTCCGTCCAATGTCCATTTCCATATAGATAATCTTTCGTTCATGACTATATATTTATTCAAACAGGTAAGGGAAGCAAAAGGTTACGAAAACGGGTTACCCAAATTATGAAGTAAACATTATACGTCAATGCAAAAGTCTTCTCAATCCACAAACACAATTAATTTCATTTCACTGTATGGCCCCAAATTCTTAAATGTAAGATATGAAGAAAATTCAAAGAGAAAACGAAGTTTCAACAAACTATCTACAATTATTAATGCCTCACTTATTAATTTGTTGTGCATTGTTATATTTATTAACACGTTATGCCATATATTTACGACTAATTGCATTTAAAAATTGTTGACAATAATTTAGAGCTGGGCATTTTGGTTTAATTTTGATTCGGTTCGATTCGGTTTATTTGGGTTTAATAAAACTCTAACCAAATTCAACCGAAATAAGTTTGGTTTGGTTTATGTTAAGTTTGGGTTTAGTTTGGCTTGGTTGTAATTTGGTTTAATTTAAGTTTGGTTCAACAATAAATCAACTTGTAAAAATAAAGATATGAAAAGTGAATGTCATATGTTCGAGCTAATAAATTCATTCACTAAGATCAAACTACCCAATTTAAGTAAAATAAAAAGATTATATAATTGAATAAGTCCAATCCCGAGTACATATTGGTACATTGATTCGGTTTGGGTCTCAAAGCCGGAATACAAAGTCTTTCACTTAGAACTTCTAAGTCAACTAGATTTATGTGAGAAATTTCAAAGTGATGTGATTTTCAACCCAAGATTTGAAAGTTAGAAATATTATGTACACTTTCATGATTTGAGTGGTTTTGTCATTATACTTAACTTTATTTATGTAAGAAAATTCAAAGTGATGTGTTTCCACTTAGCATGTACTTTTCTCCAAAGCCAAAAACAAAAGACTTCACTTCTTCTACGTCAACTTGTGCCCCCACTATGCAAAACCACATCCTATCTTTATTTATACCAATCTAACTCTTTCACTTTTCTCAAATCAAAATCACTTATTTCATCACAACCATGTCAGAATCGTGTTTGCGCTTGCATTTTCTCTTGGTTCTCTTTCTCTGTTTTGTCTCCGTGTCAAGCATCTTTATTCCAAAATATCATGGTTTTGGTCTAGTTGCTTGTCGTCTCCACCAGATTCAATCCTTTACGAAGTTCAAGACCGAGTTTGATACGCATCGTTGCAACCACAATGACGACTTTAATGGAATCTGGTGTGATAATGCGACGGGTGCGGTCACAAAGCTTCAGCTCCGAAGCTGCCTAAGTGGAACTCTTAAGCCTAACAGTAGCCTCTTCCAGTTTCATCAGCTCCGCTACCTTGATCTAAATCAGAACAACTTCACCTCCTCTTCACTCCCTTCCGAGTTTGGAAATCTCAACAAATTAGAGGTTTTATCTCTTTTCTCTAATGGCTTCATTGGTCCAATTCCTTCCTCATTTAGTAACCTAAGTCTTCTTTCTATTTTAGACCTTTCCGCAAATAAGCTCACTGGTAGTTTCCAACTTGTGCGGAGTCTAAGTAAGCTCACAATTTTACGACTTTCTCAAAATCACTTCTCTGGAACTCTGAATTCCAACCATAGCCTCTTTGAGTTGCACCACCTTACTTACCTTGATCTAACTGAAAACAACTTCACTTCCTCTTCACTCCCTTATGAATTAGGAAACCTCAACAAACTAGAGGTCCTGCGCCTTTCCTCTAATGGCTTCTTCGGTCAAGTTCCTCCGACAATTAGTAACCTAACATTGTTAAGTGAGTTGTACCTTGACACGAACGAGCTTACTGGTAGTTTCCCTCTTGTACAAAATCTAACCAAGCTCTCCACTCTAATACTTTTTGATAACCACTTCTCTGGAACCATCCCTGCTTCTCTCTTCACTATGCCTTTCTTATCATATCTAGAGCTTTGGAGAAATGATCTCAGTGGTTCTATTGAAGTTCCTAACTCATCTTCTTCTTCAAGGCTAAAACGTTTGTACCTAGGTCACAACCATTTTGAAGAAAAAATCCTAGAGCCTATCTCAAAACTCATCAACCTCAAAGAGCTCGACGTTTCTTTCCTAAACACAAGCTACCCAATTGACCTAAGTATGTTCTCCTCTCTCAAATCTTTGTTGCTCCTAGATCTTTCCGGTGTTAGGATATCTCAGGCTAGTTTAGCTTCGGATTCCTTCATCCCATCAACCCTGGAAGCGTTGCGTTTGAAGCAATGCAACATCAGTGATTTCCCTACCATCTTAAAGACCCTTGAGAATTTGGTGCATATTAGCTTATCAAAAAATATCATCGGTGGGAAAGTCCCTGAGTGGATATGGAGCCTTCCTCGCTTGAACTCATTGTTTATTGATGGTAACTTGCTATATGGCTTCGAAGGTTCGTTGAAAGCATTGGTGAACTCATCGGTACAGATCTTAATTATGCATTCAAACAGTTTTGAAGGAGCACTTCCGCAACTACCACTATCTATCAACTTCTTCTTTGCACAATCCAATAATTTCAGAGGCAACATACCTCTATCTATCTGCAATAGAAGCTCGTTGACTGTCCTTGATCTAAGCTACAACAACCTCACCGGTCCAATACCTCCATGTATGAGTAACTTCTTGTTTTTGAATCTCCGGAAGAACAAACTTGAAGGAAGTATTCCAGACAAGTTTTACGTTGGTGCACCTCTAAAGACACTCGACGTTGGCTACAATAGATTAACCGGAAAGCTTCCAAGGTCTCTTCTAAATTGCTCATCTCTACAGTTCCTAAGTGTGGACTACAACAGAATCAAAGATAGGTTTCCTTTCTCACTCAAGGCTTTACCGAGTTTGCAAGTGCTTATCCTCAGCTCAAACAAATTCTATGGTAGTGTGTCTTCTCCGAACCATGGTCCTCTAGACTTTCCTGAGCTGCGGATACTTGAGATAGCTGGTAATGAATTAACCGGAAGCTTGCCTCCAAACTTCTTTGTGAATTGGAAAGCATCATCACTCAAGATGAATGAAAATGTGGGTCAATATTTGGTATATAAAAAGGTTATTTACGATACATATTACCTCACATATAGGGACTCTATAGATTTACCACGCAAAGGTTTATTTCAAATGGAGGAGAAGCTCCTTACTTCCTACGCCACCATTGATTTTTCTGGGAATAGACTTCAAGGACAGATTCCAGAATCTATCGGTCTCTTAAAAGCAGTGATCGCACTCAACTTATCCAATAACGCCTTCACGGGCCATATTCCTCTATCTTTGGTCAATCTTGTGAAGCTCGAGTCCCTGGACCTATCAGGTAACCAACTCTCAGGGACTATTCCTAGTGGACTTGGAGGCCTCTCGTTTTTGGCATACATAAACGTTTCTCACAACCAACTCAAGGGTGAAATACCAAAAGGAACACAGATTATGGGACAACCTAAATCTTCCTTTGAAGGAAACGCAGGGCTTTGTGGTTTTCCTCTCGAAGAAAGTTGCTTTGGGACTAAAACGTCGCCACCAGCAAAACAACCTAAAGAAGAAGAAGAAGATGAAGAAGAGGAACAAATGTTGAGTTGGAAAGCAGTGGCAATATTGTATGGGCCTGGAGTGTTACTTGGAATTGCAATAGCACAACTCATTGCTTCATACAAACCGGAATGGTTCGTCAAGATAATTGGTCAAAACTTTTAAGAATTTTTTTGGTTTTGAGTTTGATCCGCCAATAATGTATGTCAAGTATGTCGTTGGTATTGTATTGAAGCCTTTCCTTACGGTTGTTGTATCTTTATTTGGTTTTTTTTGTTGTATCTTTATCTGATGATTTTGTTGTATTTTGTTTCCTATAAAATAAAGAATGGTGAAGTCTCTGTAACATATTCATATACATCTTTGTTTTTTTTAGAACGAGAAAAATAGCAGGGAAGAGGGTGAATGGGAAGTGATGAAATAGCAGAAACTCAAAATTCGATTTTAGATTACAAACTCAAATGAAAAAATATATGAAAAGAGAGAGCATGAAAACAAAAAGAAATCTGCATGTTATGAAACCACATTTTTCTTTCTCATATTAGATTTCAAAATAAACTATATCCATAGTCCATACCCTCTAAAGGATCATACGTCAGTGTACTAAGTCATTATATTTGTTTTTCCGAAACAAAGACACAGGGAACGGGTTACCTACTCTTAACGGTCAAAGCGAACCCGTTCATTCTTACATTCTGAATTCTTTAAATCGGAATTAAGAAAATCAATGATAATATGTATAAAAGGAGAGAGCACGAAAACAAAAAGACAATCTTCATGTCTTGAAACCATGACAACACGAGAGGTTCATGATCAAGAACTATCAGAGGCATCTGAACCTTTAGGATTTTTTTTTTGTTTTTTTGGTAAATTTTAAGCTTTGAGTGTTTGTCCTAAATCCTAATATTTTTATTGTTACTTTGAAATATTGTCTGATAACGCATGAGCTGATACTATTAAACCAAACTACCTATTCATTTATTTATGAAAACATAAGAAACAAAATACATGAGTAGGTAGTTTGGTTTAATACAAGGATCTTATGGAAAAAGAAATGGTAAAGATCTTTGACAATGGAACTTTTTTTGGGGGGTGAGGAGGGGGGGGAAGGGGGAATAACTAAAAGACTTAACAATGAATGCATTGTTTTATACAAGGAATAAAATTTTTACAAAGAAACATAATCAATTCATTAGCTCTGAATACCAAACCAAAATATGAGACTACCGTCCCATAGTGAGATAATGTGATTTTGTACTCCTTTGCCGATGAGAACGATGAGGCGGTGAAGATTGAAGGTATTTAATTTTTAATACATAAACATAATTAATCAATATGTTTGCTCCAAGTACCAACCAAAATATGAGACTGCCTTCATAGTTCTTAATTAGTGTCTAGATGGAGTGAGATACGGCGATTCCAAACCAGAAGAGAAGAGTTAGGAGTAGCGAGCAAAAGCAAAACTCCTTTGTACCATGAACATGAAGGACCTAATCAAGATTGAATCCACATGTTCTAAGAAGAAAAATTGGTGTTGAATTATCATTCTTAAAATGCCAAAGAGCAACATCGGCGTCCTCCCTATTACCTTTTGATCTCTGATTATCAATTTCCTCTTCAATCTTATTGAGTAGAACGATTTAGTGTCATCAACGATGAAAATCCATAATAATAATATCCCGGAGTTTATAGAGATTTCCATGTCAGTGCATCCTCGTGCACCAACAAAATCATCTAGATTTCCGGAGACATGTTCTAGCTGCAGTAAGGCAACATCCAATTGTTCCTTGCAAATATATACCACGATAGCAAGACACCAAATCTAAGAATCTTGGTGATATATACATATATCTCTATTCCCAGTATGAAGGAAATTGTGTTTGTATTTTTTGACATTTTCTCCCAACAAATGGATAAAGTTATGCTGGATTTTTTCGTGGCAATATTTGAATTTCATGCTTCCAAAATCTATTTCTTATGGAAGAAAACTCCTTGGACACTAAGACATAGGGTTTTGGATCTTTTTCGTTGTCTTCACCATATACACCACCTTTTCAAAACCTCCACGGTTCAAGTATGTGTGCATTCGTTAGTATGAGACCATGTTTGTTCAGAATAGCACCGGATGCCTAGACGCCATCGTTGATTTTGTTGTCTTATCAACAGCCACTTGTGTAGGAATACTAGCATATGCTTTATAACTAAAAAACTTAACAATGAATGCATTGTTTTATACAAGTAATAAAATTTTTACAAAGAAACATAATCAATTCATTAGCTCCGAATACCAAACCAAAATATGAGACTACCGTCCCATAGTGAGATAATGCGATTTTGTACTCCTTTGCCGATGAGAACGATGAGGCGGTGAAGATTGAAGGTATTTAATTTTTAATACATAAACATAATTAATCAATACGTTTGCTCCAAGTACCAACCAAAATATGAGACTGCCTTCATAGTTCTTAGTGTCTAGAAGGGAGTGAGATACGGCGATTCCAAACCAGAAGAGAAGAGTTAGGAGTAGCGAGCAAAAGCAAAACTCCTTGTACCATGAACATGATGGACCTACTCAAGATTGAATCCACATGTTCTAAGAAGAAAAATTGGTGTTGAATTATCATTCTTAAAATGCCAAAGAGCAACATCGGCGTCCTCCCTATTACCTTTTGATCTCTGATTATCAATTTCCTCTTCAATCTTATTGAGTAGAACGATTTAATTGTCGTCAACGATGAAAATCCATAATAATAAAAGACTTAACAATGAATGCAATGTTTTATACAAGGAATAAAATTTTTACAAAGTAACATAATCAATTCATTAGCTCTGAATACCAAACCAAAATATGAGACTATCGTCCCATAGTGAGATAATGCGATTTTGTACTCCTTTGCCGATGAGAACGATGAGGTGGTGAAGATTGAAGGTATTTAATTTTTAATACATAAACATAATTAATCAATACGTTTGCTTCAAGTACCAACCAAAATATGAGACTGCCTTCATAGTTCTTAGCGTCTAGACGGAGTGAGAAACGGCGATTCCAAACCAGAAGAGAAGAGTTAGGAGTAGCGAGCAAAATCAAAAATCCTTTGTACCATGAACATGAAGGACCTACTCAAGATTGAATCCACATGCTCTAAGAAGAAAAATTGGTGTTGAATTATCATTCTTAAAACGCCAAAGAGCAACATCGGCATCCTCCCTATTACCTTTTGATCTCTGATTATCAATTTCCTCTTCAATTTTATTGAGTAGAACGATTTAGTGTCATCAACGATGAAAATCCATAATAATAATATCTCGGAGTTTATAGAGATTTCCATGTCAATGCATCCTCGTGCACCAACAAAATTATCTAGATTTCCGGAGACATGTTCTAGCTGCACTAAGGCAACATCCAATTGTTCCTTGCAAATATATACCATATAGCAAGACACCAAATCTAAGAATCTTGGTGATATATACATATATCTCTATTCCCAGTATGAAGGAAATTGTGTTTGTATTTTTTGACATTTTCTCCCAACAAATGGATAAAGTTATGCTGGATTTTTTCGTGGCAATATTTGACTTTCCTGCTTCCAAAATCTATTTCTTATGGAAGAAAATTCCTTGGACACTAAGACATAGGGTTTTGGATCTTTTTCGTTGTCTTCACCATATACACCACCTTTTCAAAACCTCCACAGTTCAAGTATGTGTGCATTCATTAGTATGAGACCATGTTTGTTCAGAATAGCACCGGATGCCTAGACGCCATCGTTGATTTTGTTGTCTTATCAACAGCCACTTGTGTAGGAATACTAGCATATGCTTTAATACTTAAGATTTCACTCCCCCAATGACTTGCTTTCTTTTCATCAGATGGTTCCTTAAGTAGCAAGTGGCTGCAAGCATTTGTGATTGCTCTCCACGGAAACATTACAATAAAACTTCAATAGTTATAAATGAATGAAGCATGCGTTGACAAACCTGAATTTCAACTCCACTGTTCTTTTGCCTAATTGGTCTAATCAAAACGCCATTTAAGTGCCCATTCTTATCAAACACCGAAGTCTCTTCCTTTCCTGAAAGATATTGAACCAAAACGGAACAAGTTTTAGCTACTTAAGATGAAACAAATAGAACATATAAAAAACTACTGAGAATTTTACACACCAGGGAGACATCGAACCAAAATTGGTTTGAGTTTAGATTTTTTTTTATCTTTTCACTTTTCGAGGAAAGGTAGCTAATCAAGGAAAAGGGCGGCTACAGGTTGGGTCATCACACACCAATTCAGAAGCAGACGTCAAATGGATCACTAATTCACTGTTTCATATAGTTTAACCGTTTTTTTAAATAGAAAATTTATAGAAGATTTATTATGCATCACTGATTCATAGACCATTTAACATCTTGCTTTTTCATAAGATGATTTCCTCTTTATACATAACTGCTGTTTAGGTAAATTTTGATTATTATTTCATTAATTTTGATATAACTTTTAATGTTTCTTAAAGTTATATAATGCATTTTGGGCTTGAAAGATATAAAATAAAATTCTGTTAGATGATTTTTATTTAGTAATTTAACAAATAAAATGAAATACCACTAAAAGATGATTAGAAGAATATCAATGATAGGAGCAGATGTAGGTTGGTTGGAGGTGGAACATAGAACATTGGAACATGTGTTATATACTTTTGCGGTTTATATTAAGGAGATGTATAAGTTATTTAGCATCTTGTAAAAGTTTAGTCATATTGTTACTCTTTTAATGTTGTTTCTTTTTTTTTTAAATATAGTGCTTTTACACAATATATCTTTCTCCACTGGTCAATGGTGACAGAAAATAGAAGAAATAAAATTAGGCTGGAACCTTTTTTTTAAAAAAAAAACATAGATTTATTTATAAAATTTTCAGATTTATTTCCTTTTTACGCCAAATCCTTTTTTACACATACCATTTATTCGTTCGTTAACCAAAACTATAGTCAAATGAAGAAAAAAGTCTTATTCTCGATACGTACTATTTATTCGCTAACCAAAATTATAGTCAAATAAAAAAATTCTTACTTTTTACTCAAAAAAATGTCTTTGTTGAAAATAATGATTCTTCCACATATAATGCAAATTTGAAATTAGAATTTTGTCTACAATTTTATAAGATTCATTCTATATACATTAGATATGTATATCCTTGCTATGTTTTTGAAATAAGGTTATATGAATTTTTATGAATGAATAATTATTAAAACAAATACCAGAATATATAAATCCAAAATTTGATACCATAATAATTAAAGATATAATTAAAACAAATAACAGAATATATAAATCCAACATGTAGTACCAGGATAATTAAACATCAAATCAAAAAATATGAATTTCTATTGTGTCTATACCAATATCTTTCTGCATCCACCGCTGGTCAATGATTATGCATCCGCCGTTGGTCAGTGATTAAAGAAGATAGAAGAAATATAATTAGACTGAAACATTTTTTTTTTTAAAAACATAGATTTCTTTATAAATTTTCTGATTTATTTCTTTTTAACATCAATTCTCTTTTTTTACACATACTAATTATGTATTTGTTAACCAAAATTATAGTCAAATAAATAAATAAAAATTACTCTTGACACATACCATTTATTTGGTAACCAAAGTTATAGTCAAATAATTTCTACTCAAAACGAAAAAAATACTGTTGTTGAAAAAAAAGACTCTTCCACATACAATGCAAATTTGAAATTAGAACTTTGTCTACAATTTTATAAGCTTTATTCTATAATACATTACAAATATGTATATCCTCGCTATGTTTTACGAATAAAATTTTATGAATTTCTACGAATGAATAATTAAACATCTAATAAAAACAAATACCAGAATATATAAAGCCAACATTTGGAACCCGAATAATTAAATATAGAATTAAAACATATGTAGTTCTATTTAGCATATACACAAAATCTTCTGCATCCGCCACTAGTCACTGATGACAGAAAATAGAAGAAATAAAATTAAGTTGGAAAAAAAACCACAGATTTATTTCTAAAATTTCCAGATTTATTTCTAAAATTTCCAGATTCATTTCCTTTTAAGATTAATTCTCTTTTTTACACATACCTTTTATTCATTCGTTAACCAAAACTATAGTCAAATAAAAATATTATTCTTTTTTCGACACATGCCATTTATTCACTAACCAAAATTATAGTCAAATAGAAACAATATCTTACTATCGACAGAGTACCGTTGTTGAAAAAAATTATCTTCCACATATAATGCAAATTTTGAAATTAGAATTTTGTCTACAATTTTATTAGATTCATTCTATAATATATTAGATATGTATATCCTCGCGATATTTTGGAAATATGGTTTTATGGATTTTTAAGAATGAACAATTAAACATTTAATTAAAATAAATACCAAAATATATAAATCCAACATTTACTAGTACTTTATCATTAAGATATAAAATATAGAATTGGTGAAGACCACAAACCTCCAATCTCGGACGCCTATAAAAGCCAAGAAAGTGGAGAGATATAGGGTCAATCCAAAGGGACAAAGTTTTATGTTTCCCGTACTTTAATCTGCTTCTGATCTTTGTCTTGGAATAATCGACTAGAAACCTTAGAAGCAATGTCATTCCGCGAGTTGAGAAGCCTCTTCAAAGGCAAAAATCATGAACAACTGACGCAAGTAGGTGAAGATGGTATTGGTACTGAACCTAAAGGTATGTATGTAGTTGGTGTTGGGGAGAGAGTATCATTACGTTGAATGTGTATAGTCTTGGATTTTGTTTTCCGTTTTATGGTTCACATCTAATCCTCGTTCGCTTCTGAATTTTTTTTCCCATATACATCAGAATCAAATCGGAACTCGGACAGGGTGGAAAGACAGTAAGCTAGTTTCTTTCATCTTCTGCGTTTTTACATCCTTTTTCTTGTATTTTTCTGTGTGTTTTCCTCGTGTCTGATACCATTGTTTTATCAGATCTGCATGCATATTATGATGCTCTTTCTATTTTCTGGTTAATCATTTACTAGTTTAATGAAACTTGTATATAGTATATGCACGCTTCGTGTAAATGCTTAGTCGGTTTTCTGTTAAAATTTTGTGACTTGAATGTGACTTTACTATGTCGATATATGGATCGAGTTTTCAGATTTGGTGATGGATTCTTCTTATATATATATAGGTGTTATTTCTGATTGAGTTTACCCAAAAGGAAAAAACAAATGTCATGATTTGGTGATGCATAAATCCAAGTTATCCCTAGGATACGATTTCTAGTTTAATTAGAGTTCATGTAATAAAAGTGAATTTTCGCAAGGTTTGGATCCAATATTTTTTTTATATATGACCATTAAGTTACAGACTTTTAATGTTAAAAAAAAAATATTACAGACTTGGGGCCAATGATCTTATACATTTCTTAATTAGATTGATACTTATTATTTGACTTTAGTTTGCTATATTTCAGATTTTTCTTATATATTAATTTTTTTATGTACACCTATCACGATTTTCAAATAAAATCATGATACTGGTTGCATATTTGGATGGCCCAAATTAGGCATTTGCTTGATAATGTTTAGAGTCCGCTGCTTAGTCTATGTGTATATTACCTCCATGGGTAACATAAAACTCTTAATTGTACGCTATTATTTATTTCTTCTGTTTCACAATGTATAATTTTCTAAATTTTCATTCTTGTTTCACAAAGTTTAATTTTTTAGAGTTTTACTTATTTTTATAAAATCTTATATATAAAAGTTGCTCAACTTTTTCTATATGCTTGACACATGTCACCATCATTGGAGAAATACTATTGCCATATAATTAATGCACTAGTTGATTAGCCACACTATGTGCGGGGTAAATATTAACCATAATTCTTGTATTAGAATATGCAAATATAATATATATAAATATAGCTATAAAAATGTTAGCTGATATTTATAATTGCAAATATATATAATGATTATGCAATTATAAATAATGATCAAAGTTATATTTATTTTATAATACAATTGCATAAATGCTAGATAATTATTGATTCTATAATTAATTTTAGTAGTATTTTTTATATGAATAAAATTATACATTAAATATACTAAATTAGATTAATATGTTTATCTAACTGGTCTAACATCAAAATAAGATACTTTGTATTGATATAAAAAATGTGAATTATAATATGAATGAAAAAAATTAGATTTTATTATTATTAAATAAATAATATGATTATTTTTTATCTTATATATAAAAGTTGCTCAACTTTCTCTATATGCTTGACACATCAGTATTGGAGAAATTGACACATGTCACTTAAATTTTAATTAATAAAAATTTAATATTAAATTTTAAAGCATTTAAAGAATATGAAAAGTTTGTTTTATTAATTGACTCTTAACTAATATTTATATTAATGTTAAACAAACATTTATGTTATAACCAATTAAAAATATTGATAGATATGTATTTAATTTTTATATAACTGTAAATTACTTAATAATATTCAATATATATTTTAAATTATTTTTTAAAGATTATTTATAATAAAATACTAGCAAGTAACAAATGAAATGATGATTCTATTAATTTAAAAAAAATTTACTAATTGACTATTAGTTAATATTTGTGTAAATGTTAAACAAATTCTAATTAAAAATATTGATGATATTTATTAATTTTAATATAACTCTAAATTATTAAATAATATTTAATATTTTAATTTTCTTTAAATAAAATATTAACAAGTAAGTAAATAACAAATGATGATTATATTAATTTTTTATAAAAATATAAAAAAAAATTAAAAAATTGAAAATAAAACCCGCACATAATGTGCAGGTATTCACCTAGTAATGATAATAAATGATATTCTTGAAGAGATATTAATTAAAATTGTTGAATTATTATTGGTCTATAGTTATGAAAAAAAATTCTTCAAAAAAGATAGTATATTTAATTATAAATAAACATTTATTATTTCATAATCTATGTGAACTATCGAGAAAATCAAACTTTGTAAAGAGTATTAATTTATATATATTTTTTTTTAAAAAAACTCGTATACCTCTATTTATTAGCGTCTTATTAGTTGTTTCTATTTCATTAGTCAGCATAAGATATATTTTGAAGCTCGATTTTGTTGTTATTTGTTCAAATAGTGAAGAAATGTCTCTTGGTCCAAGATAGCTAGGGTTGCGTGCTAATTTTGGTGTTAGAAAAAATGTACATAAACAGTAAGAAGAATACAGCGTCAGCGGTTCATCTAAAATCTATATTGTTGAAGTAAAATCATTACGGAGATAAGAAGAAGTATATATATAGTGTTAGTTCTGAGTTTAATGCCTTGTTTCTATGGTTTGATATTGCATTAGTAGCTTTGCATTAATTAATCTGGTACACGTGATTACACTCACATACTCCCTCCGTTTTATAAAGAGTGTCATTCTGACATTTTTCACACTTATTAAGAAAACTATTAAAAATACTATTTTATCCTTCATTAATGCATTAAATAACTTTTTTCTCTAATTAATATATTAAATTAATAGGGTCAAAACTGGAATATTATTTAAAATTCTGCATTGAAAATATAAAACGACATTCTTTGTGAAACAAAAATAAAACCTTAAAACGACACTCTTTGTGAAACGGAGGGAGTAGCTTTTTTATTGTTATAACATTTACTCATAGTTTTTCTTCTTACAGATTAATTGCCATGGTGGACAAGTCCCAAGCTCGCAAGCAAGTGGAATGTCCAATCTGTTGCGGTATTTTAAAAAATTTTGTTCTCAGCTATGTGTTGCATATAAGATTTAATTCATTCATACGGTGTTTTATTTGAAGGCATACGTATCAAAATAAGTTTTTTAAAATTATGAAGGAGGTGTATTTTTTGTTAAAAGGACCTATTTTTTGTAATGTAAAATTACACTCAACAAAAAAAACTTTTTAAAAATGACTTGCAACATTTTAGAGAAATAAAAAACAGAGAGGTCTAAAATCACCAAATTACTTAGTTTTTTTTTTATAAAGATTACTTAGTATTCTAGAAAAATATTCATTTAGCTGATGTAAAACGAAAAATATATTATTACCGGTCATTAAATATTTGTGAAATTTTTTTAATTTATCTCCGTATAAGGAGTCAATAAACACAAAACCTAGTTCATATACATATGTTACTTGTGGAGCATTTGTGTCAGCCAAAATTAATTGTATCACCTATTATTCAACTTAATTATAGCTTTCAATATAAATATTTATATATGCTTAATTGGTGATATATAGTCTTATAAGTGATGTACCTTTGAGGTCATTCTATCAATAAAGGAACGTTTTCAAATGACTTGTATTTATGCTAAATTTTGTGCTTTTCTAGGTATCATTCGCAAGACTACTATTACACAATGCGGGCACGGTTTCTGTAAAGAGTGCATTGAAAAATACTTGCGTCATGGGTATTTCTTAATAATTTCCATGCTATGTTTTCTTATTTTGTGTTATAAGTTTTGGAACCTTTTTGTTGCTCAAAATATTGACTATCTCTTCTTTTATTGAAGAAACAATAAATGCCCTTCTTGTCGTGTTGACTTTCCTAGCTGTCCCTCATTTAGAGCTAATGAATATTTTGATGAAATTGTTTCAAAGTTGTATGCGGACAATAACCAGTACGAAAATGAGGTAAACTCTATATTTATTATATGATTGATGATAATACTACTTTAGAGTTTTTCCATCATTTCATCAAATCTCTTTTCTTTTCTTTTTTCTTTTTAATGTTGCCGCAGGAGTTAGAGCTCAATAAAACAGAACAGATTCCTAACGAACAGGTTAGTTATGGCCCATTTCAAATTATTACTTTGTTTCTAGTTTCCAAACTTTCTTGTTGAAGATGGTTTTGTATGGTACTTCCTCTATTGATTGGGACATGAATTGTTTTAAACAGGTTAAAGCCACCACAATATCCCAAACACGAAAGCGACGAACTAACCCAAGTAGAAGCAAACAGTCAACCACTGTAGAAACGCCAAGAGGGGACAAAACTGTCATTCAACGCATTCCTGTGTCACATGGTGATAATGGAAACAATATTGCTTCTTCTAGTCATCATATGCAACTCAAAAGACTTGCTTCATCTCAATCTCGTGACTCTAACAAGAATAAAAGAAAAGATTGTGTGAGAGTCATCCTAGAAAAGAGAGCCAAGAAACCCATAAGAAGACAAAAGAAAGTTAGAAGCGTTAAGTTATCTGAGTTTCCCGATACTCAGATTAGCTTCCGAGCTAAATCTTTGAGTCTACAATGGGGAAGACGTGGCTTGCGTAGTCCTCGCATGAAAATTTAAATGTACGAAGAAACCGGGGTTGTGGCTCATCTTCTTCAGAATCCCTACAGGAATCATCAGGTATGAAAATTCATAAAACTTTTTCTTACTTAAAACGCTAATTCATGTTTTGCTATTTCAATTGGTATTAAAATATCAGTTCATGTCTTTCTTATCTCAATGGATGAGCAAAAAATACCAAATTTGAAAAAAAAGTCAACTAAGCTGCAAACCTAACTTAATAATGAAATCTATGTGTCATGAACTTTTTATTTAACCTAATCCATTTCCAAAAACCAATGTAAGCTTATCAATGACTATATGATTTTTAAATAAACAATGAATATATAACTTCAACAATTGCTATGGTGAGTGTTTTGATCATTTTGAAAAGCATTCTACGTACACCTTTTCGATAAAAACATCAATTGTATTAATTGGAAACTATTGTTTTTGCTTCAGCTTCTGCCTATAGAACGACTTCAGATGAGCAAGACTGAGGAAATCAAGCTTAGTGATGGAAGTGGAGATGTCAAACAATTTACAAAGAAGAAACCGTCGTGGCTTTAATAGAAGTAATATTTTTATAATGAAATCCTTCATGTTTTATCAACGAGACCATGTTTTATTAGTAGAATTTCCTCTTTTTATGATAATGCCAACCTCTTGGACAATATGTATTTTTTTTTTTCAACGAACTCTGCGAACAAGTCTTACATATAAAAAATATAGGTTGTTAAGATAGATTTAGTAGCATACGCAAAAAAAAATAGTAAGAATGGAAGCTAATTTCATACCTCATGATTCCTGTAGGGATTCTAAAGAAGATGAGCCACAAACCCGGTTTCTCCGTACATTTAAATTTTCCTTCAAGTACTATGCAAGCCACGTCTTCTCCATCATAGACTGAAAGATTTAGCTTGGAAGCTAATCTGAGTATCAGAAGCTCAGATAATTTAACACTTATAACTTTCTTTCTTCTTCTTATGGGTTTCATGGCTCTCCTTCTTGGGATGACTCCCACATAATCTTTTCCTTTACTTTGGCTAGAGTCACAAGATTGAAATGAAGCAAGTCCTCTGAGTTGCATATAATGACTAGAAGAAACAATATTAAGACCTTGTTTTGTTTTTGATTTGAATAAATAATATATCATTACTTTTGAACAAGTATCCGTTGGTGCATGCACCCAATAATTTTCTTAAATATATTAAATGAATAAATTATAGGGTAAATGACGTAATATTCATCAGTGAATAAAATTTTCAATATTGCATATACCATTATAGTAATGTCACATTCGATATTCAATAACCATTGCCCCCACTCATTTAATATATTTTCCTTTTTCTTACTTTTTTGCTTCTTTTTTATTCAACATTCTCCAAAATTATATGATTTTTTAAAAAAGATTTTTGTAAATATTTCCTTATAACCTCATTAATTTCGTTTTCCTTATTATGTGTTTTTATAATTGCATTTTTTGTCCTTTTCTAGTACATGCATACGGATCTTTTACATACTTTTCATTTTATTTAACTTTATTGTTTACTATTTTTTTTTTGCTTCTTTTAAACTGTATCTCCTTTCTTATAAGAAAATAGAACATGAGTAAAATATCTTGTAAAAAAGTATATTTTTTATTTTCCATAATTTGAATATTCATGAAAAAACTAAGCACTATAGATGTTATATTAATATTAATATATATATATATATATACGAATATATTATATTAATCTCTAATATATTATTTATGCCTCCATTAAAAAATATTTCTGAATCCCACCGCTGGTTTTGTATTTCAAGAATAGAAATTATCTAAAAAAGATTATATTTCCTTTTTCTGAAATTCAAAGATTTTTTGTTTTTTAATATAATTTTTACCAATTTAGTTAGAAACAGACAATACAGAAAATAAAACAATACATCGTTAATGCGTGAACCAAAAAGAAATCAAAGTGAATAAATTATTACCTTCTAAAAAGAATTTTAATTCCTTATTCTAAATTTCAAAGATTTTTTACCTTTTTTTGTGCTGTCTCAATTTAGTTAGAACGTACAATACAGAAAATAGTCCAACACATCGTTAATGAATGAACCAAAAAAAAAATCAAAGTGAATAAATTATTACTTTATTTTATTTTTATTTGCATTGTGGAATAAAAATGAAAGACAGTCTAGCAAAAAATATTGTAGTTAAACGGAATTTTGTTAATTCATTCGGTCAATATTATGTAAGAAAAATATTAAATAATATATAATTATATTTATTATAAATATCTAGTATTAGTATTAATATTTTGAAAAATATATATTAAATATCATTTTACAGTATTGATTAATATCATCATATCAAAAACATTATAAAAGTATTGATTCTATATGCTAAGAGTGGAGAGTTAGCGGTGTGAATATGTGTAATATTAATCTTAATCTTAAATATTATAACAAAAAAAATAGTAAAGTTATACAATAAGAAAAAACAATGGTATGTATAGTATTATAATTTAATATTACATAGTATTTGATATTTTAATTATATATTCGTACTATCATTAATACATGTAATCTAAAAAATTTAGGACTAAGACTTTTTCAAACAAGTATGATATGCTTACCTGTTAAAAAATTGGAATGGATAACCATCAAATTTTATAATTAACTAAATAATTAGGGTTTATGTATTCATTTAGAATTCATGTGTTAAAATATTTCAGATATTATTTCAAAGTTGGGAGGCTTTGGCAAGGGTTGGATTCAATTATAACAGAAAACTCCCTGACTTTTGGTTAATAGTCTTCTATATATCTTAGATATTAAAAGTATGACTATTTTTCAATTTCTTAGATATTCATAATTGACCATAGTCTGACTATATATTTCCTCTATCTTTTAGATATAATACAGCTTGGATACATATTATGTTTAATACATTTCTAATTGATCCATATCACTTATATTCTATTATAATTTACATCAAAATTTTGAAGTAGAATTCCTAACATGCTCAATTTGGGTCGAGATTATCTCTAACTGAATCTCACTCAGACAACATGTCCTACATCACAACATGCTCCATTTAAGTCATTCTATAGAGGCAATAAATGTAAGTTCTGATACCATATCAAGTTTTATGAATTTCTAACTCAAACCAATTAGCAATGGATAGAATAATACGTTTTCCGTAAATGCTTAATCGTTTTTCTGTTTTTAATTTTTGTGGCTTGAATATGATTCAGTATGTTAATATCTAGATCGAGTTTTCAGATTTTTGTGAAGTATTCTTCTTATATGTTATGTCTGATTGAGTTTACAGTTTTTGATTTAAGGCAGAATCGTACTTAAATTGGCTTCACCGTCTTTATGTTTCTCTTAGGATTAATTTGCTAACAGGCCGGTTTTTTCGGCCCAAAGTTCATTTTCTCAAAACTATTAAATCACTTGTTCTTTTTTTTTTTTGTCGACAGTCTAAACATCTAGAACGGTTGGATAATCTAGACCAGTGGTACCGAGTTTACATACATAACATCTTGAGGGTAGATTCGGGCATTCCTTGTTAGATTATTTGCTTTCATATTCTTCGCACGTAAAATATGAGATAAGGAGAAACAACTAAACATGTCTTTAATCGTCATAATCTCCTTCAAATGTATAGTAAAAACTGGTTATTCGCTTAATGATATATCGTGGTTTTTATGGTTTTTAACCATGGTATAGGTCTTATTTATAGTCTTTTTAGTGTCTTTCGAGTCTTTTGGAGTCTTTTCAGGTCATAGGTACGTTTGGAGCTTAACTGGAGACTTTGGAGCTTAATCAGGATCAAATTCGTCAAGTATGGATTTTGTGCTATAGTGACGCTCGACACCATGGAGAGTGACGCGCGACACTTGTCAGAGAAATAAGGAAAAGGCGATTTTGTCTCCTAATTTGAAGAAGGAGTTGGGCCCAAAAGTCTCCAATAATTCCAAGGAAACCCAAAACGTGTTTTAGAGATATATATAAGATTTTTATTCCCTTTTTACGATTACCTTAGATTTTTGAGAGAGAGATACTCTGAGTTTTCGGCTTTTGCGATTTCTGAGTTTTTGGGGAGACAAGTCTGAAACTCTGTTCCGGAAAGAGAAGATTTCAAACCCCTGTCTATTAATCTATTATTTCTTTTCTGCAATCTATTCATTCATGTTTATTGCTTCAATCTTCATGTCTGAGTAGTTTGTTTGTTAGGTTTAGGGTTCTCATAAAGGATTTCTTTGGATGTTGGATTGATTAATTAATTAGGGTTCATAATCTATTTAGTTCTTCACCATAGGTTGTTCTTAAAGCTAATTCTGGACTGGCCACCTAGAACTTAGATCTTAGGTTAATTGATTGACACGGAAGTGTAATTGAATAACTGGAAAGAACCTAGGGTGAGCAAAGTAGCTATTCGCAAAGGAATTTGGTTTAGATACTTTGTGAACATATCGAACTTGTGCATTAAAGCTGGTTTAAATCTTTAGGGTTTGCAAAGGAATTTGGAATTCTAGGATTTTAACTTAAATAATTCTCACAACGGAAGTTGGTTAATTATAATTCTGTGATTCGAGTTCAAGAACCATGCTTAAACCTGAACCCTGATTAAACCTGAACCCTGATTAATCGATTGTTCAGCATTCATTAATCTCCTGAGAAACGCCCTAAGCCTAATCTCCATCCATCTGAATCTTACAAACCGTTTTTATTGCTGCTTAGTCTAATTCTGTTGCATTGCTATTTATTAACAATATTTCTGCTTAGCGTAATTCGATCTCTATAAGGTTTATTGAGTGATCTCTTGTCTCTGTGGTTCGACACCTACATACTACAACTGCACATCTGTGCTCTTGCAGAGTAGCTTAGGGATTAAAATTTGAGCATATCAAGTTTTGGCGCCGTTGCCGGGGACTTGATTTCGCCATTAAACCTAGTTTTTGAGTTTCGACTAAGTTTTTCGACCTAGTGTCGAGCGACACCACAAGTGGTGTCGCGCGACACCTTTC